CCCCAAAACCCCAAAACCCCAAAACCCCAAAACCCCAAAAAATAATAAAATTGATTAAAATGGGCTCAATTCCTTCCCTCGATTTTGTCCCGAGTGATTACAAGATAAAATACCGAACTCCTGATTCCTTTGACTCTGAAGATGGCACGGATACTCCCAAGAGTATACATAAGAACCAGTCTACCCTGATTGGCAAGAAAGCACTCAAGGTTAACTTGTCTTAAGAACCCATAAAGGGAGGACTGAATCAATAAAATTAACTAAGCAAGATTTAACTGTAGGTTGGTTAATAAAACGTTGAAAAGAACTCTATGATACCTTATACGAAGAGGGAAAGCTAGGAGATCAGCCCAGGGGAGAAATTGTTGGGTTAAAAACTGTTGATTGATTACCTTCGATGGATTATTATCTGACATTTCCGAATAACTCATTGAACTCGATTAAGGAAACTACAACTTTGACAGTCCATTTCTTAAAACATTATGAGAACGAGTCACCGATTATAAAGGAGAAGGTGAACAAGAATAGCTTCGAATACTTAAAAGTAATAGGTAGTGGAGGCTATTCCAATGTAGTATTGGCTAGGAAGAAAGATACTGGCAAACTTTTTGCGATAAAAATCATCAAGAAAGACACCACATTTATTAAAACAAACAAGAGAGTCTATCAAGCAGAGGTCGACATCATGAAGAGACTTACTGACTTGCCTTTTATAGTGAGTCTACATTATACTTTTCAGACTGAGAACGAACTCTATTTTGCAATGGACCCTTGAATTGGCGGAACATTGTTTCATTTTATGACCCATTTCCCAAAGAAGGATTTGAATGTCAACATTGCTAAATTTTATGTAGCAGAGATTGTCGTTGCATTGGACTATATTCATTCAAAGAATATCATGTATCGTGACCTTAAACCAGAGAATATACTGATTGATATTGACGGTCACTTAAAAGTATCTGACTTTGGTTTATCTAAGCAAACTAGAAATAAAGATGAGACAAGTTCTACTTTCTGAGGATCTCCAGAGTATCTACCACCTGAGATGATACTTGGCTATGACCACTCTAGAACGGTTGATTTTTACACATTAGGGTGCCTACTTTATGAAATGCTTGTTGGGTTTCCACCATTTCATTCCAGAGATCCCAAGAAATTAGAAAAGAGAATCGTTAGTGGCTCAGTATGTTTCCCACCTGAGTTAGATGAAGTTTCTGCAGACCTGATCGAGTGGCTCCTCTCTAGGTATCCCCTCGACAGGCCTAAAGATTGCTCTGAAATAATGGATCATGCCTTCTTTGATGGAATTGATTGGGATAAGATCGCTAGCAAGCAAGCGATTCCTCCATGGGTGCCTGATCTATACACTTGCCATGTTCCGAAAAGTTTTCTGAAGATGCCTATCAACCAAGTTTTTATGAAAAATACTCCTCACAAGGAACAAAATAGAACAAGCTATAATCAACGGAGACATGTAAAGGAGAAGTTTAGGAACAGTCTATACGTCTACGATCAGCGATCTAACCGTGATGTCAAAAGGCTTGCACAAGAAATGGGCCAAACAATTGAGGAAATGCTTGAACTAGAAGGTAAGACACCATTTTATTTCTAAATTGCACTCAAGAAAGATCTACCTAACTTCACAAATCCTGAGTTAAAATATATCTAACTATATTTGGTTTTAGGATTCGAGTACAATTGTGATTACCCTGACGATGATGATCCCAAAGAAATGGAGAAAATCATGAAACATTCTGTAGAGATAAGGGGAAATAGGCGCAAAAGTGCCAGGACTAAATGATCCGACACTTATGGAATGACAGATATGCTAGTTGAAAGTGACTGAGACCTTAGCGATAATTCAGAAGATGGAGGAATACAACCCATGGGTTCTTATACAATGAAGAAAAATACCTTATCAAAGCACAAAAGCGAAGCTTCAAAAGATCCTACAAATTTATACTTCAAGAACCAAGAAGATGAAGATGCTAAAGATGCTGAACCAAAAGAATCAGACGAAGAAGAAGAAAGAGAAGACCTCGTTACAAAGCTAGAAAATAGTCGAAAGAGGGCTACCAAGAAGAAGAGATACATGGGCGCCAAATCCTGAGAAGTAGGCAAGCAGTAGTAACTAGTTTTCTAATCTTACCTAAAATTCCTTTAGCAGCTTCACTTAAAAAGCCCAGCTGAAACTTTCGAAATTTATGTAGGCCACCTTGGTCACCAAGGTGCCATAAAATATTTATTTTTTGAAATTTTTTCAAGATGTGGCTATACAGGGGTTTTGGGGTTTTGGGGTTTTGGGGTTTTGGGG